GATGTGTGGAAATGAGGTGATCAGGACTCTTCCTTTTATTAATTTAGATTGTATATTTCCTGGCGAACATCCTGCAGTTCTGAGAACTCAATCATACTCCAATTATACTCAGAATTACAAGAAAGCCTTTACAGTTCAACTCCATGAAGAAAGACACAATTCAACAGAAGATCAAACTTTTGATATGCAAATTCTAAATTATAATATGCAAATTCACCATTGTGAGCTTGTTGGACACCTTCATAATGCACATTATTCACAGACATTCGTGCGGTGAAGTCCTGAAGACCAGGAGAAAAGCAGAAGTTCCTCCAAGATTACATTGGGAATGCGCTGGACTGAGTGTTTTCCATCCCTCTTCCTGTGAGCTGTCCTGCATGTCTCACCTGTGTTTGTCATTATAGCGCAGTCAAAGCGCTCTGTGTTTCCCGCAGCTCAGTCACAATTAAAGCTGAAGTCCTCCATAAATGCACACATTGTGAGCTCAGCCTTCAGCATAATCATCGGTCTGCGTTTCAGCGACGCCGCTCATTAGTGTGGAGTGTTTCTGACATGACATCAGCCCAAACTCCAACACGGCTGATGTTGAAGGGTTAGTTCACACTTAAATCAACATTTCCTGTTAAGTCTACAGGGCTTCAGCAGAGATGCAGGAGACTTTCTGTCTCCAGGAGAACATTTGAGTTGAGTTCTTCTCTTACGAGTTATCTTTATGTTTCAAGGCCTGTGATTGGCTGTACTCATGATGCCCCGCCTCCATCAACTCAGGATCAAAGCCAGAGTTAAAGGGTTAGTTAACACAGAAATGGAAATCTCCTGTTGATTCACTCACCCACAGGTCACCTGCTTCTCCTCAGATGAGCAGTGAAGCAGATTTTGAGCTGAATCTGACGTTCTTGATGCTTCATGTAATGGCAGTGAATGGAACAGGTTTATTAGATTAAAAAAATAACACATACAGAGGAGTGCTAATCAATATCCATGCGGACACACTGAGGTCTGGTGAAGCAAAATGACCATTATTTATAGGAAATTAAACATTATTTACAATAATATGAGCTTTAATCACAGCCTTCAGAAGCGATCAGGCTACATTCACAGATCTTTGGCATTATTGACACTTTGCTCACACAAACCAAAACATAACCTGAACATGATCAGAACATAACCTGAAGATCTACTGAACATGATCAGAACATAACCTGAATGTAACCTGAACATATCCTGAACATCTCCTAAACATAACCTGAAAATAACCTGATCATCTCCTGAACAAAACCTGAACATAATCCAAACATAATCAGAACATAACCTGAATGTAATTTGAACATAACCTGAACATGATCAGAACATAACTTGAATGTAACCTGAACATATTCTGAACATAACCTGAACATCTCCTAAACATAACCAGAAAATAATCTGAACATAACCTGAACATCTCCTGAACATGATCAGAACATAACCTGAACTTGATCCAAACAATCAGAACATAACCTGAATTTAATCTGAACATAATCTGAACATCTCCTGAACGTAATCAGAACATAATCTGAACATCTCCTGAACATAACCTGAACATAACCTGAACATGATCAGAACATAACCTGAATGTAATTTGAACATAACCTGAACATGATCAGAACATAACCTGAATGTAACCTGAACATATCCTGAACATCTCCTAAACATAACCTGAAAATAACCTGATCATCTCCTGAACAAAACCTGAACATAATCCAAACATAATCAGAACATAACCTGAATGTAATTTGAACATAACCTGAACATGATCAGAACATAACCTGAATGTAACCTGAACATATTCTGAACATAACCTGAACATCTCCTAAACATAACCAGAAAATAATCTGAACATAACCTGAACATCTCCTGAACATGATCAGAACATAACCTAAACTTGATCCAAACAATCAGAACATAACCTGAATTTAATCTGAACATAATCTGAACATCTCCTGAACGTAATCAGAACATAATCTGAACATCTCCTGAACATAACCTGAACATAACCTGAACATGATCAGAACATAACCTGAATGTAACCTGAACATAATCTGAACATAACCTGAACATCTCCTAAACATAACCAGAAAATAATCTGAACATAACCTGAACATCTCCTGAACATGATCAGAACAGAACCTGAACTTGATCCAAACAATCAGAACATAATCTGAACTTAACCTGAACATATCCTGAACATAACCAGAACATAATCTGAACATCTCCTAAACATAACCTGAACATGATCTAAATATAATCAGAACATAACCTGAATGTAATATGAACATCTCCTAAACATAACATGAACATGGACAGAACATAACCTGAACATCTCATAAACATGATCAGAACATAACCTGTACATGATCCAAACAATCAGAACATAACCTGAATGTAATCTGAACATATGCTAAACATACTATGAACATATACTGAACATAATCTGAACATCTCCTGAACATAATCAGAACAACCTGAAAAAAATCCAAACATAATCTAAATATAACTTAAATATAACCTGAACATATCATGCATAAAACCTGAACATATCCTAAACAAAATATGAACATATACTGAACATAACCTGGATAAATCCTGAACATGATCAGAACAACCTGAAAAAAATCTGAATATTATCTAAATATAACCAGAATATAACCTGAACATAATTAAACATATCCTGAACATAATCTGAAAATCTGCTCAATTACCAGAGAGTGACTGCAGTTCATCTATAAATGCTCATAGATTCTCACACACACGCACGCACACACACACACACACACACACACACACAAACAGCACCCAGCAAACCAAGACCAGCGGCGTGTTTGAAAGATGGATGTTTTATACAAGCTTTATTTACATCTTGAATAACAACTGTACAGTTACGCCATGTCGGAAGCTCGGTTTGCTCAGCAGCGTTTCCATGGAGACGCATGACGACGCGTGACGAGCTGCTCGCCGTACAGCATGTACACAGTGTAGACAAGCGATATAAAACTTGGCAAGTGGAACAAGTGTGTGTGTGTGTGTGTGTGTGTGTGTGTGTGTGTGTGTGAGAGTGTGTTTCTCTGCTCATGGACGGCTGAGAGAGACGGTACACTCCAGAACTCAGTCCAGACAGGAGAAACCCCCCCAAAAAAACACCACCAGGGGGCGCCGATCGCACCTTTTATATGGTATTAACATTAACACAAGCAGCAGGTTTACATCTCGCTGTAACACAATCAGCAAACAGCATCAAATAAATAGCCAAAGAAACACTATGGGTAACAGATCCGCTCCGACTCGTCCAGCAGCGCCTCGGCTCATGACCTACAGGAAACACTGGAGCAGCTACAACCAGCCCTCACTCATTCATCTCTATATAAAGTGTAACAGTCACCGTGGATACGCTCTTCTGTCAGCCGTGATTGACATGCACAGGCTCCGCCCACTTCTGACAGCATTCTGGGACTGCAGACACACGCTGATGGGTTAGTTAGTGAGCAGCGATGGGTTAAACTCAGCAGCATGCAGCCCCGCCCCCAACGTCACAAGCCCCGCCCCTTGTCATGCAGCCCCGCCCCCTGCAGATCATGCTTTGACGTCGCTGTGAAAGAGAGAGATTGACAGCTGTCAGTCAAGAGTGTCTGCTGAGGGAAGAGCACTGCAGCCATACTGTCTAAACACACACACACACACACTCACACACACACACACACACACACACACATTACAATGCAATTTATATTAAGCAAAACGACTGACTAAGTTAAAGTAACAGCACACACACACACACACATGAACACACACACATGAACACATGGAGATGATCTGAGTGATGCTGGATAAAGCAGATATAGTAATACTGTGTGTGTGTGTGTGTGTGTGTGTGTGTTTCCAGCATCATCAGAACATCTTCATGTGTTCATCAGGAGTAAAGCAGCTGTGTGAGGAGAGTAAGCCCCTTTAAGACTAGAGTTTCATTAAAGATGAACAATAGTGAGTGTTTAAGTCAGAATACTGAAGGGGGTGGAGTCCTGCTGGCCCCGCCTGCCAATTTACATATCTTTACTCATCAAATGAGCTCATTAATTACTTAATTATTCATGAATAAAGAAGTCTGCATGTGTTCAGTCAGTTTTGAGGTGTGTGAAGTGTGAAGTGTGTTTTGATCATTGGTGTGTGTGTGTGTGTGTGTGTGAGTCTGAATTAAGGCATCAGGAATGAATCAACAACATAAACACACAATCATTGGTGGGAAAGGACAGGAAGCATCTAATACACACACACACACACACACACGCACGCACGACTCGCCTCCCTCACTGCATAGATATCTGACAGGAGCTCTACATACTGCTCAGAGAGTGTGTATGTGTGTGTGTGTGTGTGTGTGTGTGTGTGTGTGTGTGTTATTGAAGACCAATGCGGATGTGGCGAAAGCAGCGCTGATACTCTCGGTAAGACTGTAACAGGAAGAGTGGGCGGAGTCAGCGTGGTGATTGGCCGGTCCAGCAGGTGCTGCTCTACCTGGCGGCGGTCTGCTGATACGTCCGTCTGGAGCTGGTGGCCTGCCTCTGACGCGCCAGGAAAGACTGACCGGAGCCTGTGCTGGCCAGACGGTCCTCTGCTGCCTTCTTCTGGAGAGCCATACCCTGCACACGCACACACACACACACAGGTCAGTCGGTCTCTGTGATCTTCATGTTTATGACCCTGGTGTGTTCTGCTCTTAAAGAGACAGTGTCCCCTAATACGAGCGCTCTACACTCCTCAAGGAGCCTCTCTGTCTTCCTCTGAACACAACAGGAGATCATCAGCTGGACGCTGGAACACACACCTGACTGAGTTCTGCTGTGGGTGTAATGGTCTGCTTCTCCAGCGCTCAGAGAGGTGAGGAAACCCCTGAGGGAGAGGAGCTGCGCATGCCACTGCGCCTTTAACTGGACTGAGGAGCACTGCAGCGCAACAGCACCCCCTACAGA